TAAATTTACTTACATTTTTTTAAGTTTTACTTTTTTGATATTATAAGGCAAGTAATTTTTAATATATAATAGAAATATAACTATTTTTTACTTATAATAACTAAATTTATATACAAATATTGAAAAATTTTCTTAGGTATGCTTGCAGGTTTTAAGAAAATTTCTAAAAAAAATAAATCCAAGAAGACTAAAAGAAAAACTCAAGAAACGTTACCAGAAAGATCAGAAAGTTTTGTAAATTGATTATTAGAATTAGAGTTAGAAAGTAATAACCTCTCATGCTCTTTAGAATCTGCACCATTAACTGAAGGTATTTAAGATTTTTAATTTTTAATAATTTTACAATAATTCAAAATTATTAAGATTCATTAAGATATGCAATATAATAGTTATTAAATTATTAAATTAGAATTGTCTTTAAAAATTGCTATTATTTTAATTTTTGTGCAATATTTCAAAATATTTTAAAATTTTTTAAATATAGTTTATTCTATTTAAGAAATATTAGCACATTTTGAACTTTATTTTTCTAAAATATTTTAATATTTGTACAATATTGTGAATAATTTCAAAATGATTATTTATATTTTAATAATTAATTCAAAAATTTTAATTATTTTTTATAACAGAAAGAAGTTTTGCAAAAATCTTTAAAAATCAAAGAGAAATTTTGTATCATATTAAGCAACTTTCCTCTCAAGTCCAACAAGTAAATAACCATATTAATGAATTAAAGGAAAGGTTGAATGATAAATTTAATACAACAAATAAAAAAACTTTTCATAAAGTAATTAATTTAATATTTATTTTAATTTTAGTTTATAATTTATTCTAATAAATTTTTTATAATAGCAAATTATAAAGGAGGCTTCTAAAGATTTAATAGAAAAAGCAATATATCCTAAAGAAGAAGAATTTAAGTTGGCTGTAGAGTTTTACCTTAGGGCGAATTATTCTGAATTTATTTCAAGAAAGTTAAAGAAACAGTAGAATACTTACTATAAGAAGAATATTCACAGACTAATAAAAAATTTTTCAAAATTTTTATTAAATATGTATTGTCAAGAAAAAAGGATAACTTTAAACTTTATTATAATTTTTGATTAAAGGTATCTTAACAACTATTTTTGTTTATTTGTTAAGAAATCTAAATCAAAATATTTTTAATAATATTTAAAGTTATTCTTTTTTCTTAATGATACTCAAAAATTTTATTTATTATTATATTTAAAACTATTCAAAATATTATGAAATTATTTTAAATATTTTAAATTATTTTGAATAATTTTGAATATTTTTGCAATATTTCAAATTGTTTCAAATATTTTTAAATTTCTATTCTTACTAAATTTTTATAGCTTTTAGAGAAATTTAGATTAGTGAGGAGTATTTTAACTACTAAGATTAAGAATACTATGTTTGCTGTATTTGAAAATCTTTTATCTTCTATTAATAATAAAGCAAAACCTGTGATCATTCTTGAATAGAAACAATCTGAAGAAACCAAATCTTGTTTTAAGCAACTATTTAAAAATATTTTTAATAATTTAGAAGATACTTATATGTTACTTATATTAAACAAAATATAGCCCTTTGGTGATGTGACTCTAAAAAAAGTTACATATGCTATAGCAGTTTGTTAAACTATGCTTAAACTTATGCAAGATAGTTTGATGATTTCTGAAAGCATTATAAAACACAAATTTTCAAGAAATTTAATATGTATTTATTATATTATTATAAAATTTTTAATTATATAACCAAAATTTTTTATTATTAGAGAAAGTTAGAAAATAATAAAAAAATTTCAACATTGGACATGTAGAATGATATATCAAGTTTTGAAAAAAGTGAAACTTCAGAAGACTTCGAAAAAGTATAATATTATTGTTTTATATTTGAAATAAATTTAAAATTTTTTAAATATTTGTACATATTTGTGCAATATTTTGAATCTTTTAAAAATTTGTTACTTTTTTTTAATTTTGAGATATATTAATTTTATATCTAAATATTTAATACTTGGTATTATTATATTGGTTTTTAAATATTCTGAAAAATATTTTTTATCAATTATTAATTTATTAAATATTTTTCTATTTATCTTTTTAAATAATACTAGAATATCCCAGTGAGCTGCAATAAACAAAAAAAAGTTTTGCAAGAATTCAAAATTGTTTGTATTATTTTAAATTACTTTTTTAATTATTAATATTAATTATAATTAACAAAAATTATTAGACAAATAAAAGGCTAAAAGAAGGTATGATTATTAAATTTCAATTATTTTATCATTATAATTTGCAGTATTTTAAGAATACTTTTATAATACCATATTTTCACAGAATAATGCTCATGAGCATTAATTCGAAAATCGTACCCCTTAGAAATAGCATATAAGATCTCAAAATAATGCTCATGCATGTCTTGAAATAACGTGCACCCATATTATGTAACTATATAAAGTGTTAAATATTCCAATTTCAAATTTTATAAAATTTATAAAATAGCCAGTTATAAAAACATTATCATTAAAATTAACATATAATTATATATCTATCAAACATATATTAAAATTAATATCTTTATTATATGTTTTATTATTAAAAACAATAATTCATGTTCTATTTAAATGATTTATTTATTTCAACCCCGATTCTACAATTTCTTGTTTTGTTGGATTCGAATAATAAAAGCTTTACATTAATATTAAATTTTAATTCGATCATTTTTTATTTAAACAGACAAATACACATATGTTCAATTCTAGGTTTTCCATTTCAATAAATTAATAAGTATCTTGTTTCGTATTTCTTAACTCTGATTCAGTTAGGATTTCCTATTTGAAATAACTTCTTAACTCCATTTTGATAAACATTTTCTTTTAAACTAATATAAATGTAACTGCCAACAGGAATGACCATTCAAATTCATAGATTTTCCATTATAGTTATACATAATTATCAACCAATCGTATCTCAAATTTTAGTAAATTAGCAATCAGATCATAAAAAAAAAGCTGTGTAGAGAAGGGCAAGGTAATTTACTTATTATATAAAAGTTAAATTACACTATACGATAATTTACTAATAATATATACTTACAACTAATAACATACTAAATTATCACATAATGTGATTTAACTTTTACTTAATAAGTAAATTATCTTGCCTATCTTTAAAGCTGTGGAATTCACAGGATTCAAAGAATACTGTATATTATAAGGTGAAGTAAAGGCATTAATTCATTTGTTAAATTTACTCTTGTTTTGTAAAAAGTTAAACTACTTAAGCTTTTAAAATAAGTATTGTAAAATGTATAAAAAAATAATTTATTAATTGTGTAGCTATATCAGAATAATTTATGAATTTGAACGGTCACTTCTGTTGTCACTGCCTTACCTAACATTCATCCTTTTTGATCTGAATTTTACAAACATTGCTATTATAAAGCTTTTTCATTCAGCTTCAATTCTGCTTAGAATTATTAGTACTAGAAAATTAATATTATCATATTAGTTCTGCTAGTATTCTTGCACAAATTTGAATAATGGATACTTTACTATATATTTATCTTTTTCAACCTCAATCTCACTAACAAAAAATTAATCAATGTCTGATTTGACTTCAATTCCATGATGCTCACGTTCCAAATATTTTATTTTCATTATTTTTAACTCTGAAGTTTTTCTAATACTAAATTGATTTTTTTGAATTCAAAAATTCTAAATAAATTAAAGTTAAATTTACTAAAACATTAAATTTAAAAATAATAACATGTCTGTTCCTACATAACATTGTTCAAATTAATTTACCAAAGTTTGCAAGCATTTTCTCATCATACCTATAAATTTTCATATATCAGACCTGCTAATATCACATTATACTCAGTAAGAGTTAAATACCACTAATATACTGCAATATCTAAAATCTACGGATTACTCAAGTTGCAGTTAAATTATTAACACCAAATCATCTATCAGAGGCCTTTAAACGATTAGTATAAAAATTTTGTACTTAAAACATTTAAGTAACATACTCAATACTATCAAAAAAGAATAGTAAACAGGAGGAGTTGGGCCAGGTATGCTGAATACCATCAGATTATATAGTTATTTGCTAAGATATGAGACATGAAAACAATTATATTCATTTATTACATACCATATTTGTCTATATGTCAGATTTTGCAACATTATTGACATAATAGTAGTTACAAAGCATTAACGAATAGAAGCTAGACTTTTTATGACATAAACATCTTAGCATAATCGCAACAATTGATAAATTTTTTAAACATTCGGTTAATACTAATCAGTTAACTAAATCAAGTGATTACGGTATTGTTAATTAAATTTATTATAAGAATTTTATAATTAAAAGAATATATATACCAGTATATAAAATAAAGTTTGCCTTAAGTTTTAACCAATTTTCAAAAACGGTATAATATGGCTTATGGAATCACAACCCCCTAGCGAAATGATTATCTATCACTATTTTAGCACAGCAATCCTGTAAGTTATTTCTAATCTTATACCCAATACTCTACATGATCTAATATATTAAATATGATAACTGGATTTAAAATAATAGGCTATCATGGAAACATCTAATTTTTACTATAATTAAAGTAGTTGCTCTATCAGTTAAAATTCAATCGTGAAAAAAAAATAATTAATTGCCTTACTTTAACAAATTATTTAGGTCTGTTAAAATCTTGAAAAGTGGCTAACAATATTTCAAGTTATCAAAAAAACTATTAATATGTATGAATTTTACTCCAGAGATTTATTCATTTGTTTATTAATTAATTACTATCATTAATTAATTTTTATTACTTCATTATTTTGCATTTCCTTACAGCTATCTACATCAATAATATTTATCGTAATAATCTAGCTCGAAGTCTTCCAGTTCATCATTAATTTCATCTTTCAAATTATCATCGTCCAACTCACCATCGGGCTCATCATCATTAAACTCATTATCATCCAGCTCACCATCATCCAATTCATCATCCAGCTCACTATTATCATAATTTGGTTTTCTAAATATGTATCTTCGATGGATAATTCATCCAGGCAATTTTTGATGATAGCTTAAAGATGGTGTGACATCTTACCATTTTCATTGCTATTAGGATTGAGTGTAAGTCCAGTCACTTCGAAAGATTTGACTAAAATATTTGAACTGATTTTCCTCTATGTCTCAGATACCCATTCACATATAAGTTCATATGGTGCTTTTTTTTGATTCCCATTTTTAGTATAACTTTTTTTTCCTTTATCTATTCATTCTTCCCACCTTTTTTTCATTCCATTCTTAAAAGGCTTGTTTACAAAGACATCTGATGGCTGCAAAATGCTAGTGGTTCTACTAGGAATTTTCAACACATCTAAGCCTTCTGAATTCAATGCTTTAATTACATAATCATGATTATGACTACAGTGTGCATTGACAAAAATGATACATTTGCTTTTAAAAAACCCATTTGGCCTAGCTCTAATAACTTGTAGAATATATGTAAAAATCATTAATTCTTCAGTCATATTTGCAGAAGGCATTACTGCTACTACAACATCTCGCAGAAATCTGCCTCTTGGTTTTTTTTCAATTTGAAGATTACTGCTAGTGGAAGCTTATTTCCAGCTGCTATATAACCCAAAACCACTGTAAATCGTAGTTTTTCATTGCCTGTAGTCTTAACTGGCATCTCACGAATACCTTTGAAATCGATTGTCGAATCCCGTAGCATGTCGAACCATATAAGGGTTTCATCAAAAGATATAATATACTTTTTTTCAATGGTGTGTGTTTTTTCATACGAAGTTTTTAGAAAATTTTGAATAATTAAAGGCTTATCCTCAGGAACCTTTTGGGCTATCTGTGTTCGAGCGCATTTTACTAATTTATGCTGTTGCTTAAAACGTTTGGCCCAACCATGTGAAAATTTCATACTTCTAATACCCATGGGTTCACTTAAACGTTTAGCTTCTTTTATTATCATTGATGTCGTTACTGTTCCTTTTTTTTCTCTCTTCTTTTTAATAAATTCCAACAGCTTTTTTTCTAACTCAGGGCTATACTTGTTGGCAAAATCCCAAACTATTATAAAATTGGTTTGTCTATACCCAAATCCCAAACTCTGGCCAAATTCATATCTCAAAAATTTAATTAATAATTCTCATTCAAACTAATATCAGATATTCTTATAGTTATATATAATATATTAGCAAAATTTTAATACTATTTTTTTGATTCAATTTTTTATAAATAACAATTGTTTTTTTGAATTTGTTCAGGTTTTGCCATTTTGCCAGCAAGTATACTCAGGGCATGCTGCCTTCTTGCCATGACTCTCAAGAACCCGCACTTGTTCTATATTTAAGTTTTTATTATCTCTAATTTTTTCCAACTCTTTTTTTTGCTTGTGCCACTCTTGAACATGCCTTTGGTGAATCTTGTAAAACAGTGAAGCTTTCTGATTGGAGGTTTTTTCTGCATATAAGATTACTTTAAGCTTGAACATGATGGTAAAACTTCGTTTTGTATTCATGTTCACTTAAAAATAGAGTAAACAACCTGTGCACCCAAGCTAATAAGAATAACATTACATTTTATATCATGAACATTTGTGATATAGAAAACAAAAAGGATGTATACATACTATACTATAAAATATATTCTGATTTTTTAAGGTCAATGCATTATTTGATTCAATTTTTAATGACTTAGTTAAGTCTTTAAATGATTCTTTGTATCTGTTCATTATACAGTAAGTTTCTTCACACTTTCTTGGTAAAGGTAAATTATCAGTAATAGTAATAACATTTTGAAGGCAGCATTGAAAATAAATTATTATAAGAATAAAAGATAATCTTAGTTTAATCATTAAATATTCTTCTAAAAAAATTACCAAGAGTTTGGAAAATATTGAGTTAAATAGTTTCAGAAAACCTATAGTTATATAGTAATGTAGTACTGGTACTATGTAGTAAGATTTGTGAATTATGCCAAGAAAAAGCTAGAAGTTATAATTTTAGAAATTTTACAAAGGCATCCTAGTTAGTGTTAACTAATTAAGACTAAAATTTCCAAAATTATCACCTATTTGAAATTCTACTTTTTCAAAAGACGTATGTTCGTATGTACATATATGTATAAATAATATGGGAAATCCAAAAGCCACTCTCCCTATAGAGACAAAGTGTATAGTACATTGCATATTGAAATCTAATGTTCCTTAAATTATTGATAACAATAGTGTACGTGAACGAATTACTTTATTAAGTTGATAATTTAGGAAATATTTGATTTTCTTGTTTACGTTGTGAACACAGGGTTGGCAATTTGGCTATTCGTTGAGAAAAAAAAAACTGGGTGAAGCTCAATAAATAAGTATCTATCAGACTCCTTTGGCTCTTGAAATAGCAGGTAGGCATTATTATGTAAAAACCTTAGCCTTTATAAGGAATAATTGTAAAAAGAATCGAGGCATAACCATATCAAATGAATTGAATAGAGCAATGCTCTAAAAAGTAATATGTAGTAGGGAGGTATAGAAAAAAAAATATTTATATATGTATAGTACTTAATCTAATAACTTTTTTTTTCTTTTTTTTTTAAAAAAAAAATCAAATCGTTTAAAATCTACTAAATTGAAAGAGAGTACAAATGCCAAAATTTAAGTGCAATTCCCTTATTTAAAATAAAATAAATAAATTAGTAAACTTTTTGATCAATGTTTAAGAATCTAAGAAACTGATTAATTAGAATTCAGATGCATTTTAATAAAGAACAAGGTAAAACTAAAGAGAGGCAAGTTTGGTAAATATATAGCTTAAAATCATTATACCTATATGTTAATTAAAGCTGAACCTCTGATCTTTTTACACTTTATTCAAGAGAAGTTTTGTCACTTTAATATTAAACATTCGGAACTATATTGAACTAATTCTAAAATAAATAGTTTTAAACTATGTTTTTATAATATAATAAAATTGCGCAAAATAAAAGTAACTCTTAACTAGCTTTAAAATACAACATCTACATAATATTCTTACTTAAACTTTTACATACCTCAAAATGAATCTCTAGCTATTAGTATTTCAAAATGTGTTTATAGAATAGTGCCAAGAAAAAACCAAAAATTATTGAATTTAAACTACAAACTTTATTTATATTATTATATTTAGAAAATTTACTTGATATCAATATATATTTCTTTCGAAATAACACACATGTGCATTATTTTGAAAATCAGAATTGGCGAAAATTTGATCTTTAATTCAAATTAATGTGCATGCACGTACTCAAAATAATACACCTATACTCAAAATAACATGCAGATAAGCATTATTTTGTAAAAATACTGTACTTAAAATTTTTAATTATATTCACATATTTTTGCTTTTTTTCAAATATCTTCACAATTTTTTATTATATTTTAAAATTATTCACAAATATTTTTTATATTTAATTTAGATTTATCTAATAAAAATCAAGATACTAAAAAAGAATTTTAATACTTTTTTATTTTTTTAATATTTTCAATAATCTTTATTTTTTAGCTATATTTGAGTAAATCAAAATACAGGAATTTAACATTTAAATAAAATGTTTTTGTTATTTTGTTTTATTTACTAATATATCTTTAGTTATTATACAGATATTTGATTCTTTTTGAATTACTTTGAAATTTTTTACAAATTTGTAAATATTTATATAGATATTTCTTCTTTTTTTATCTTTTTTT